TTCTATTTAGATATTATTTTATTTTATATTTTAGGTTACATATGACAGTATTAGTTTAGATAAGATTCATGTGATGAAAGGATGGTTAGACTAAATCCCTAGCCATTGTATCGACTTTTAATAAAAACGCAAGTCATTGGCACTAACATTAAGTAGGTAGGACCCACTTTTTTTAATTGAGACTCATACATGAATAAATAATACATACGTCAATTCTCAAGCGTCAATGAGTACTAAGTTGAGTATTTCGGAAGTCCCGTTTACTCAATCGAATATACAATATTGTAGCATGTGGGTTAGTATTACTTTGAGTTGAATTCAGTAACGATATCGAACACGTAATCATAAAAACATTTATATGCACAGCTATCCATCACACGAGATGCTAATTCTTTTTACATTCAAACATAAACTAGCGACAGAACATTTAAGAATCATACTCTCAATTATTACAGATTTACTGAATTCCTTATTCAATAGCAAAACATGAGTAATTAGCTACTTAGTTTTCATTTGGAAGTAGCAACAGCTCGGAAACGAGCTTGAAAATGCGCAGCTAACTTATCTTTTCCCACGTTTTAATCATGGAGTCTCAATGATTTGAATGAGTAATGACGATCATTTCCCACGTCCTTCCACAAGATTTTAGATGCGTGAGGGCGCGTGTGAGGCACGTTCAAATCTGGCCCCTTGAAGACAAAACGTCAGAAGTCGTGGATAGCCTAAATTATAAATCTGATGATCAACGGTTGGATGGCCCGGATCGAGATCCAATGGCTAGGNTTCTATTTAGATATTATTTTATTTTTTATTTTAGGTTACATATGACAGTATTAGTTTAGATAAGATTCATGTGATGAAAGGACGGTTAGACTAAATCCCTAGCCATTGTATCGACTTTTTGTAAAAACGCAAGCCATTGGCACTAACATTAAGTAGGTAGGACCCACTTTTTTAAATTGAGACTCACACATGAATAAATAATACATACGTCAATTCTCAAGCGTCAATGAGTACTAAGTTGAGTATTTCGGAAGTCCCATTTACTCAATCGAATATACAATATTGTAGCATGTGGGTTAGTATTACTTTGAGTTGAATTCAGTAACGATATTGAACACGTAATCATAAAAACATTCATATGCACAGCTATCCATCACACGAGATGCTAATTCTTTTTACATTCAAACACAAACTAGCGACAGAACATTTAAGAATCATACTCTCAATTATTACAGATTTACTGAATTCCTTATTCAATAGCAAAACATGAGTAATTAGCTACTTAGTTTTCATTTGGAAGTAGCAACAGCTCGGAAACGAACTTGAAAATGCGCAGCTAACTTATCTTTGGGAGGTTGATTTTCCTTTGTAATACTGCAATTATGGAATTCATCAATCCATTCACCTACATTGGGAGATTTCTCTTTTGTGAAATACTTGCAGTCCTGCCAATTCTTGGAGAATTCCAAACCAATATGCCACGAAATTGCCAGTGACATCGACCATTCGAATAGTCTCACCCAGCCCAAAGAACTTCTTGCTCGAAAGTGTACTCTCAAGAATTTTCGGGACTTGAGTACATTCTTCCTTGAGCTTTTCTTTCTCCTCTCCTTTGCTCCAACATACTTTCCACATTGCAAGCACACACTAAAAGCAAATGATTTTTTTTATTGGCAAATATATTGTTAAGGAATAAATTTCACGTCGGCTAATTATTGAAATATATTCGATAAAGATTTAAACTACTTTTTTTTAATAAGATCGACATTTTAAGATGAAATTCGAAGTCTTAATATCATATCAGAACCCATTAATCTCAAACGAGAAATTTGATCAAATTAAAATTAAAAAATAAGGGAAAAGAATTTTGAAATAGTGATTTTTTTGGGAGAATGTATGATTAAAAATGCAGGAAAAAAATTTTCAGTGTACATGCAAAATATTTTGCCTATGTTTGATCCTCATTTTTTTTAAAACTCATTTTCAACCACACATTCTCCAATAAAATAATGTTATATGTAAATCAAAATATTTTTCTTATTTTTTAACTACACACTCTTAAAAAAATCATTATTCCAAAACTCATTTTCTCCCAAAATTTCATTAAAATGGAGCCTAAACAAAGGCTTTATTGTGAGAATGTGTAGTTGAAAATGAATTTGAGAAAAAAAGAGTTTCGTTTTAATGGTTGTCAAACATGTGCTAAGTGATAAATTCCACATCGACTAATTATCGAAATATAAATTAACATATAAGAGATTGAACAACTCTCCTAAATAATATTGATTTTTTAAGATAGATCCTCAAATTTTAATATGTGCAAGATATCGTGGCATAAAAAAAATGCTAGTTTAAAAGAGAGTGTCTCCTCTGTAATAGTTTAAAATTTTAAGCGATGGAGTTTTAAATGTATCTCATATTTAACAACTCATGCGTTTAGGCAACAAACATACATTCTCATCAAAGAACTTAGCCTTGAAGTGCGCGGTGGCTCTTTCATAAGGATCTCTTGGCCAAATGGAAGGGCCTTCCCATGTTTCATCAATGTATTCAAGAATCACCAAAGTCTCACAAATTGGCTTGCCATCGTGGAGTAGCATGGAAATTTTCTTGTAAACTGGGTTGTACTTTAGCAGCAACGGTGACTTGTTGTTCAAGACTTCTTCTATGAATTCATATTTGACGCCCTTAAGTTTCAAGGCAATCTCAATTATCCTGCTAAATGGGCTAAACCACGTACCAAATAGTTTCACTTCCGCCATTTTACACCTTGAATTTCACCCTATATTTTCATTCTGCAGGTTGAGCTCTTATAATGCCCCCGTTTGGCCCACATTGAAATTATAATTTATTTTTTTCTCTTCTTATCAACCACATATTTTTCAATAAAATAATATTATACAAAAATCCAAAATTTTTTCTCCTTTTAACCACACAATCTTAAAAAAAAAAAACACTATTTCAAATATTATAATCTCAAATAATAGCAAATAATGGAGGACCAAACAATGGCTACATATGCAAAGGGAGCATATGACTTGTTTGCCAAGAAACAACATTAAATAAATTAATATACTAGCAATTGTTTCTTGTAATTTTATCAAGTAACCGATATTGATTGTAGTAGGTGTGAATTGCTTGTTTACACTTTGCTTGCTTACAATATATTTATATATAATAGCGAAAAAGTAATTTAATTGTATTTTTTTCTCTTGAAAGTTGACGTATAGGGTGATCTCACCAACATCCTTCTTTACTCTTTAGCATTAATTGATCTTTATCCTATAGGGACATACTCGATGACAAAGAGGACACGTGTCAATGCATGATTGAAAATTTTGGAAAAAAATATACAAGTCACCATTCACATGTTATAGTTCACACGTCACATGTTATAGTTCATAGGTCACATGTAACCAATCACAAATCACTTGTCATATTGTATATGTCATAGATGTTCATAGGTCACTTGTTACAGTTCACGGGTCAATATTAATTAATCACAAGTCACCATTCATAGGTAACATATCAATGTCTATATGTTACAGATTAAAAAAAAATTGGTCGCATGCCATTGGAACAATATCAAAGGCAACATATCAATGTAAATTCAAGAGAACTGGTCATATGCCACCGAGTTCTCCAAACTGGTCACAAATTTAGAACCACATTTCGACGGTGAGAATTGAAATTATTTGATCGGTGAGTATTCTGTAAATTATATCAGTGGCTGTTTTCAATTCCAGTTTTAAAAAATAAATTTAAATTACACCAATGCGGTCAGCTGTTGATGTTCTTCAACGGTCGGAATGTTTCTTCCTCTATCTCTAATATCTGAGCTGATGATGATTCTTCAGTGCAACCTTGATGCCCTCTAGAAAAACTTTCCATTGCTTCTACTTTATGCGATGATGTAGTGTTTTATTGATGATACTATCCTTTTGTTATGTTGGTTTGTATTGTCATTTTCTAGGGCGGATATTGGGGGTGGCAGCACTAGGCTGTAGTCCAGGGCTGCCCAAGCCCATACCCAAAAATAATTGCCCAAAAAGAAAAATGAAAATTCAGTCCATCAGCCAGCAATGGCCTACCATCAGTCTAAGAAAACTTAGCCATCCCTCCAATCTCTCAAGTAAATGTTTTGTTTTAGTTTTAAGCCCAAGTCAAAATTCCATTAAAACTGTATTTGCAGAGAAATTGCTCTATAACCTTACAATCTTACCCTAGAATTCTCAAGGGATTTAAAATTTTCCATGTTGATTCGATGTTACCTGTTTCTCCTCATTTCCTGTGGGACGTTGACACTTGCTGTGAATTTGAGATCTATTAATGCCTAAATTATGTGAGGGTTTTGTTACTTTTGTGTGTGAATAATGTGGTTGGACTTGGGATGGTTGCATAGGAAATGAAAATATGAAATGTTGTCAAGATTTTTCATTTGTTTGAACAGTTATAGAGTACAAGTATATAATACATGCATATAAAGGAACGAAACTGTAGGGAAATTGTTTATTCAATTCTTGCCATTCTTGTTATTAGGGTAAATAAAGGTTGTTAACTTGTTTTTGCTAATTGTTTTTTACATTTGATGTTTGTCCTTTGACGCCTTTTATGTGATGTGAATTGTGGAGTAAATTTTTAGTGCTCGTACAATATATAGAGTCTAAAATTACGTATTTTTCCCTCATCTTTTAGTACCTTGCGGTATTTGATTTGATATTTCCTATTGCAATTTTAAGTTGTTGAATGCATATAGAGAATGTGCGTTATAGCATTTTTTGAATTAACTTTTTGAATTTTTTTTGGTTTCTACATTGTAAAAGAAAGATTAGGGAGAGAAATCCTTTTGCCTACCACAAAGTGAATTACTGGCTCTGCCCTTGGTCATTTTGTGCTACATAGTCTGATCGCCGTCTGCAAAATTACATTTGTTTGTAAAGCNNGCAAAATTACATTTGTTTGTAAAGCCTATGTGCTACAAATTGCTCTATAACTTGCCACGAATTTCCAAAATAGAAGCCTTAAGTATTGAATGTTCCTTTCATTTGTTGGTCACGATTCTCTTCGAGCAGGAATATGAAGTTGAATTTCAATGCTAAAACCCTTTTATTTAACTACCATTCATTTGCAATTTCCAACTCTATTTAACTACCATTCATAGGGGTGATCTCTGCAATCTTCTTCATTTTCAGCATTGATTTGATGTAAAATTGCAGTTGAAATTCAATTAAAAAATGGAGGGAAGTCTTTAATTATTGAGGATAATGGCATGGCATGGAATAAATTTAAAGTGTCCATAACATGATTTGACCATAAGAGACCACTTGTGTTTTCGTAAGGATAATAATTCAAATTCTATTTAGATATAATTTTATTTTATTTTTATTTTAGGTTACATATGAGAGTATTAGGTTAGGTAAGATTAGGTTGGTTAGTCTAAATCCCTAGATATTGTATACACTCTTTATAAAGACACAAGCCATTGGCACTAACATTAAAACAGCTAATTTTACCTACGATATATAGTTTTTAAGTAGGTAGGTAGGACCCACTTTTTTTAACTGAGACTTAGACATGAATAAAGAATACACGGGTCAATTCTCAAGCGTCAATGAGTACTGAGTTGAGAACTTCGGAAGCCCCTTTTCCTTACATCTACTCAATCGAATATACAATATTGTAATATGTGGGTTTGTATTGATACTTTGAGTTGAATTCAATAAAGATATCAAACACGTAATCATAAAAATATTTATATGCATGGCTCACACCACGACACACTAATTCTTTTTACATTCAAACATAAACTAGCGACAGAACATTTAAGAATCATACTCTCATTTGTTACAGATTTACTGAATTTCTTATTCAATAGCAAGACATGACTAATCAGCTACTTAGTTTTCATTTGGAAGCAGCAACAGCTCGGAAATGGGCTTGAAAATGCGCAGCTAACTTATCTTCGGGCGGTAGATTTTCCTTTATAATACTGCAATTATGGAATTCATCAATCCATTCACCTACATTGGGAAATTTCTCTTTTGTGAATACTTGCAGTCCTGCCAATTCTTGGAGAATTCCAAACTAATATGCCACGAAATTGCCAGTGAAATGACTGCCCAAAGAACTTCCTGCCCGAAAGTGTACTCTCAAGAATTTTTAGGAGTTGAGTTCATTCTTCCTTGAGCTTCTCTTGCTCCTATACTTTGCTCCAACATACTTTCCACATTGCAGGCACACGCTAAAAGCAAATGATTTTTTTTTTTTGGATGAGCGTTTTTTACACACATATATTGTCAAGGAATAAATTTCACGTCGATTAATTATTAAAATAACATATAAAGATTTAAATTACTTTTCTTAATAAGATTGACATTTTAAGATGAAATTCCAATTCTTAATATCGTATCAGAATCCATTAATCTCAAACGAGAAATTTGATCAAATTAAAATTAAAAAATAAGGGAAAAATGAATTTTGAAATAGTGATTTTTTTGGAGAATATGATTTAAAATGTAGGGAAAAAAATTTCAGTGTACGTGCAAAATATTTTGCCTATGTTTGGCCCTCATTTTTTTAAAACTCATTTTCAACCACACATTCCCCCATAAAATAATATTACATATAAATCAAAATATTTTTCTTATTTTTTAACTACACACTCTTCAAAAAAAAATCACTATTCCAAAACTCGAACATTTTGGTTTTTGATTTTATTAGCTTCATTGGTTCTAGAATTTGATGTATTTGTTAATGCGTGTTTAGTAAGTTGGATTATACTATATTTGAAAATATAAATAAGAAGAATTTAAAAATTATTATTCACATTGTCAAGTACAATCTAATATTACTCGCATATCAAGTCCACTTGTTTGCTTAATTGAAAAGGCAATTATGAGCATGTTTGGTTATACTAAATTATTATTTAAGTTGGTCAAACATATTTTTATCAATTCTGCTTTACGTGCAAAAGCAAAATACACAAAATGAAAACAGATATTTTCTCCCAAATTTTCATTAAAATGGAGCATAAACAAAGGCTTTATAGTGAGAACGTGTAGTTGAAAATGAATTTGAGAAAAACGAAGTTTCGTTTTAATGGTTGTCAAACACGCGCTAAGTGATAAATTCCACATCGACTAATTATCGAAATATAAATTAACATATAAGAGATTGAACAACTCTCCTAATTAAAGTTGATTTTTTTAAGATAGAACCTCAAATTTTAATAGGTGCAAGATATCGTGGCATAAAAAAAGGCTAGTTTAAAAGAGAGTGTCTCCTTTGTAATAGCATAAAATTTTAAACGATAGAGTTTCAAATGTATCTCATATTTAACGACTCGTGCATTTAGACAACAAACATACCTTCTCATCAAAGAACTTAGCCCAAAAGCATGTGGTGGCTTTTTCGTAAGGATCTCTTGGCCAAATGGAAGGGCCTTCCCATGTTTTATCAATGTATTCAAGAATCACCAAAGACTCACAAATTGGCTTGCCATTGTGGAGTAGCACGTGAATTTTCTTGTAAACTGGGTTGTACTTTAGCAGCAACAGTGACTTCTTGTTCAAGTCTTCTTCTATGAATTCATATTTGACGCCCTTAAGTTTCAAGGCAATCTCAATTCTTTGGCCAAATCGGCTAAACCACGTACCAAATAGTTTCAGTTCCGCCATATTACACCTTGAATTTCACCCTATATTTTCATTCTGCAGGTTGAGCTCTTATAGTGCCCCCGTTTGGCCCACATTAAAATTATAATTTATTTTTTCTCTCCTTCTTATCAACCACACATTTTTCAATAAGATAATATTATACGAAAATCCAAATTTTTTTTTCTTTTAACCACACATTCTTTAAAACAAACACTATTTGAAGGATTATAATCTCAAATAATAGCAAATAATGGAGGACCAAACAATGACTACATATGCAAAGGGAGCATATGAGTTGTTCGCCAAGAAACAACATTTAATAAATTAATATATTAACAATTTTTTTTTATTTTTTAGTTTTGTAATTTTATCAAGTAATCGATATTGATTGTAGTAGCTGTGAATTGCTTGTTTATACTTTGCTTGCTTCCAATATATTTATATATAATAGCGAACAAGTAATTTAATTGTATTTTTTTCTCTTCAAAGCTGACATATAGGGTGATCTCACCAACATCCTTCTTCACTCTTTAGCATTAATAAATCTTTATCCTAAACCCCTAAATCTCACAAACTTTCTGCAAAAAGAGTTATACTATAGGGGCAGACTCAATGACAAAGAGGACACGTGTCAAGGCATGATTGGACATTTTGAAGAAAAAAAATATACAAGTCACCATTCACATGTTATAATTCACACGTCACATGTTATAGTTCATAGGTCACATGTCACCAATCACAAATCACTTGTCATATTGCATATGTCATAGATGTTCATAGGTCATTTGTTACAGTTCACAGGTCAATATTAATTGGTTACAAGTCACCATTCATAGGTAACATATCAATGTCTATAGGTCAAAGATTCAAAAGAATTGTTCGCATGCCATTGGAACATTATCAAAGGCAACATATCAATGTAAATTCAAGAGAACTGGTCACATGCCACCGAGTTCTCCAAACTGGTCACAAATTCAGTTAACCACATTTCGATGGTGAGAATTGAAATTATTTGATCTGGTGAGTATTTTGTAAATTATATCAGTGGCTGTTTTCAATTCCAGTTTTAAAAAATAGATTTAAATTACACCAATGTTGCTCAGCTATTGATGTTCTTCAACGATCGCTATGTTTCTTCCTCTCTCTCTAATATCTGAGCTGATGATGATTCTTCGCTTCTGAACGATCAGTTCACCACCGAAGAAGATGCTTAGTCATCAATGATCTGTGTAGATTCTATCTTTCACTTGCAAAGCTATTTAAATGCCAGCGGATGAATGTCGATATTGCACACTACCAACCTTGTTGGTCGAACTAAAGAATGATCGTACTCGAACGGA